AAGTGGTTTAGCTTGCTTTATATTTCATGTAATATATAAGCCTATATTGCACTTCATTAGATAGGTTCAGGTCACTACTTTGTAGTACCCAATTTCGATCTAGGTTATGAGGTAGATTTTAAATGTTGAGTTATCACCCTCCAAAATATAATCTCAAATTTCTAATAAAATGTCAATTAAAACATAAAAATTCTCTATCTAAAATATTAAAACCTAATATAAGATAGACTGGAGTGCTTATAAGTGGTGTTAGAATTTTAAAGTACTGCATACTTTTCATCCTTTGGCTTCCAGAAATAATTGTTCAAAATTTGAACCTATCTCCTTGAAAATTCCAAAATCCCTCATCCTTGTCTTAATCTTTGAAATCCAAGAAAATACTTGTCACTAATTTAATCGAGAGTATTCTTGTAGGATTCATTTCTCCCGGGATATAATTAACCATAGGGGCTTACCCTTATGAGGAACCTGCAACTCCATATTAAAATAATCCCTATCTTATTTTCATGAGGGGGAAAAATCTTAAGAAAAGTAGACAATTTTTTAAAATCCATTTTTTTATTTGAATTCCGTTGTAAAATATCATTTTCACCTTTTAAGGTGATATGATATGATCATTATTGTATTTTATAACAAAAAAGAAAAATTTTTAATCCTCACTTTTATCTTCCAAAAATACTATCTTAGAATGACATTTCTATCTTTCGAGGCAATATGTTGTTCTTCTATATGTATTTGATTACAAAAGTGAAATTTTAAAACCCCTTTTTTTGTATTTGAATCTATTATAAAATATCGTTTCTATCATTCGAGATAGTATGGTATTCTCAATGTCATATTCGAACACAAAAATAGGAGCACCCCGAATCTATGTGGGTTTTTCAATATTTTATTTTATCACATGTGCATTTGCAAAGTACGAGGCAAATGCAACTTGAGTGCAAATACTTATGAAGAAGTTATATTAAATGTAAGTATATGAAAGCTGCCATCCAAAAAGTACACTTATCCCTTATAAGTAGAAGGGATAGATGCACATTGTAAAACAACCAACAACCAACAACCAACCAATATACATAAAAAGATGCAGCAGGGATTGCAGTGTCATTTGATAATTAATGCTAATATGCAGTGAATTTTGTAACTTCTCTAGTCAACAGTAGTAATGCCCTACCGCCAACATCAATATCTTATATACCATTGTAAATAAATATATCATACCACCTGTGAATGGTGAAGGTGGATATGATACAAGTGTAATGGCTTTTCTACAAGCACATCTAGAAGATTGTAGTGAACATGACCATTCCTTGTGAACAATGATGACAGGCATGACCTTTTTGTGGATAACAACAATGGATACATCATGAGTACAATGGAGCCTTTGCAGACACAAATAGATGTAACACTTACAAATAACTAGTAGCCCACCTATTGGTGATAACAAACAATATGCAATATGTGTGAACACCTAAGGGATATTGTACATCTGTTGCACATGATACATGATGCAATTAACAAGTCCAGTGAAATCAATAATAAATGCACGTCACTAGTGGTCAATAGTGACATGCAAATGAGCACAAGAGACAAGCACCTACGGCAATGATGATTTAGATGCTGTGAATACATTGAGTATAAGGATAACTCGATGCACGGAGGAAGTATGTTGATATATCATCAAAGGGAGATTCCAATAAAAACACAAAGTTAAATGATATCGTGAATTATTATGTAGAGTTAAAGAATAATCAGTTGAAAAGATGTTTCATATTATCATCTCTACAAAGATAATAAAGACTTCCAACAATTGTAAGTGTTTACGAGCTGCTACAAGGAACTTGCAAATCTACTAAAAAAAGAAGGCCCTAGCTACGACACTATAATATTAAGTCAAATGGTTTTGTAAATGATTTTGTATAGTCAAAGAATGAGCACATTAAGAGAAAAAAATGATAAATGATATCTCATTCTATCACATCTGCAAAATGATGGGGCTCTCAAAAACTATGCCACGCCATTTAAGTGAGGACCCGAAAATCAAGCCCCTCAACCTAGTGTCCCACCCCTGATGAGTTGGAGACAAAGTTTTCTTTTGATGCACTAGCCGAGTCCTTGGTCTCATTAGATGAGGATACCTCATCTATCACAAAATAACCTCATATCATTTAAATGTCTTCATCCAATCTAAACAAGGATCCATCAATTCGTGAATCCAATCTCCCTATGAATGAGAAAAGGGAGTTTATATCAGAATAATGAAGTACTTTATAACAGTTAGGTGACAACATTATGATTCACCTGCAAGCAAAGGCAAGGAGTCAATAGTAAAAAATATGGGCTGCTGAAATGCAACGCTATGCCATCGAATATGCAACGCTCATACAAGCATACATAAGCCATAAAAAAGCCCAAAATAAAGCCCCGAGCATTCGAAAATGATAGTCACTAATGCAACCGGACAACCCTCTACACTGCTTGCAAAACATTTTAAAATGCCCTGTTATATATGCATAGTGAGAGACTCTTAATTATAACAAATGCATTACATTTGCATGTTAATATGTTACATATGCATGTGTTGTAACTTCAGAACACGGGCATGTCATCTGACATAACTGTTACATGTTGAAAGAACCACATATATAAGTAGAGGGTATTACTCTACTATGTCATTTGACACTGTAGTTGCACTTCAAAAATTAACCTCCTACATAAGAAGAGGGTATCATTCTAGTGCGTTGCTTTGATGTTGTTATTGCATTTCAAAATACCTCCTCATGCATTGATAATAAGCAAAGGGTTTCACTCCAGTATGTCATGTTACACTGCAATTGCATTTCAAAAATTATACCATGTATACACATGAAGGCATCGTGTGAAATGCATCCAACAACATACACCTATATGATCCCCCAACTGCGTATTATCGATACACACGTGACATTTAAGAATGTTGCGCAGGTTAAAAAATAAATCCGAATTTGAACCCGATCCTCTATCGACAAGTAGACAGACTTGACACAGTTTAATCGAAAAAATGTAATAACCCATGAATTGCCTAATGATGGCCATATTGAATGTAAATCTCAATCAGAGGGGATCATATATTTTCAAATGCCCTCAAACTTTCATAGAATACAAATGTTTTTAATGTCCTCAAAATATACCTCGATGATGGTTATATTGAATGTAAATATCAACCAGAGGGGAACATACATTTTCAAATGCAATCAAACCTCTATAAAGTTTAAATTCCACAAAATACAAATATTTTCAAAGAACCCCATGAACACCCTGATGATGGCTGTGTTAATAAAAAATCTCAATCGAAGGGACCACAAACATTAAAAAATGCTCCCAAAACACCCATAACATCTAAAACTACAAAAGTACCTAAATTCAATAATATTTAAGATTGAAATAAATCATCAAACACTTGAAGTAAAAATCCATCCACCCTCCACAACAGTTTGTTGAGATGGATAATTCTAAAAATTACTTTAACTCAAAAAGAGCCAATGTCTAGTCGAGAATATCATTAGGATTCATTCACAATTTGTCTCTTGCCAATAAGGATGTTGCAAACATCCTCTAACTGGTGGTTTTGCCATCAAATGGCACCACACAGTGGATTCCACTGCCAAATGGCTTTACAGGTAAACGGTTATGACCGACACCCTTTAAACTGAGTGGTTCGTCATGAAATAGCACGATTATATTACTATCATGGTCAAAGCCCATATGTCAAAAACACAAGTGCTCCTTCATAGGCTTTTACCATGCATAAGTGGGTACCAACTACTAAGGCTTCATTTGTGATGATTTTCTTACTCTTCTTATTACACCTTTTCAGTACTAAATCTAAAATTTTTGTACTAAAAATTTGTTTTAAGAAGCTATAAGGAAGCTATGTCCCACCTACCTCTTCAAAATAGATAAAAAAAAATGATTCATCAACTAGATCTCCCCAAAATCTTTCTCAAAAGCTATTAATAGGAGAACAAGAGCCATCTAGTTTTGATGAATAACGAGATATATTAACACTTTAACATACTAATTTTATCTATTTTATCTATTTTGCATTATCTATCTTTTGATAAATATACTTGTACATTGATATTTCATTATCTAATTTTTCAATAGATGATCATCCATCTAACCTAAAACATTTTTTAAGAGTTATTTGGCTAGTATTTAAGTAACTTCTATAAGTTTAGATTGGGACGGCTTTCTTACTGCTTTTTAAAACAACTTTTTAGTATAAAAGTTTTATTTATTTTTACAAAAAAACTGTTTTAAGAAGCAATAAAAAACCATCTAAGACCAAGTCTTAGTAAATCTTGAGAGGATTAAAATCTGAAAATTGTTTGGCAATACACTGGATAAATTTTGCAAAATTCTAAGAAATTATTTAATTATTAAAATTTGCATGTGAGAGAAATCCTTAAATCCAATGAGAATTAGGATTTAAAAAATATATATTATCAAAAAGGGAAAAAAGTTGAATCGAAGCATCCAGTTGTAAATTCCATGGTAGCCTTTGGATTAGCTTTTAAATAAACAAAATACAAATTTAGATTGATTAACTATATGTTTTATTAATCTCAAAGTAAATCCAATGACTCAAATCCATTATGACGTCAAGATAACCTTACCCAAATTTTTCCTAAAAAGCAATGAGTCCGGCAAAATTTTATTTTAAAAAAGAAATCAAACCCTTTAGCCGCATTTGTGACAGCTTTCTTACTACTTTCTAAAGCAGCTTTTTAGTACATATTTTGTTTTTTAAAAGAAAATTATGTACTATAAAACTGCTTTAGAAAGCAATAAAAAAATCATCTCAAACGAAACCTTCTTCTAAACAATGCCACATCCGTCTGCACTATCTTTTTTCTACAATAATTCTGCTATTGCATAACATTTTTTCATTAAGTAACATCAATCTGCATCACATTTCTCATGCTTCGGCTATTGACAAGAAATACTAAGTAACATACTAACAATACATAATGAACTCAATGCATGCAGAAAATCTATAGTTTACTGAAAATTTTATTGAAATTTTTATGAACTTTGGTTTCAGAAATAACTGAATTTACATTGATAAAGAAAGGGTAGGTTAGTTCTGAAGGACAAGAGACTTGCCAAGAATTATATCGTCTGTAGAGAAATCAGCTTCTTTGCGGTAAGTTCCTCGACCAAAGTCCAAGTTATATGAGTCTGCAAGACCATCAATTAAGCCAAACTCTGGCTTCCAATTCAGCTCAGCTTGTGCTTTCTCAATTGAAGCAAAAAAGTGCTGCAGTTCATATAAGATCCCAGTATCACCATATAAAAATCATTGAAATAACCAGAATAACAAAAATTTCAATCCAAAGAAAGCTATCATCAGCTGCTGCAAAACCAAGTTTTAAGCTTCGTTTGGAACAGCTTTGTTATTGTTTTCTAAAGCAGCTTTCGGTATCAAAATTTTTACCTCAAAATTTTTTTTTGCTAAAAAATTATTTTAAAAAACAGTAAAAATGTCATTCCAAATGAAGCCTTAATCTTGAGTTCCATGCAGAAAAGCATGTTTTGAATTGAGAAATTATATGACCTTTCCAAACAGTAAATGTTTCCTTGCATATTTTAGATATAGTTTGTTGGGAATAGGCTCACAAGAATACCTGATCTCTGAATGGAAAGGCTTTCTTTTTCCCAAAATCAAATTCCTTTGGGTTGTAGTTAATGATCTCTGGTTCAGGAAACCCTGCAGCCTACACAAATCAGGAATATTAATAGATTGAAGGAAATCTTCCCAACGCAATTAAAACATATTTTTCTTCCTTAAATGATTTACCTTGGCACACGCCCTAGCCAAACCATTAAAGGTAACATATTTTGATCCAGAAATGTTGTAGACTTGCTTGCTTGCTTTAGGATTGCCCAACACCTTAACAAAAGCATCAGCCAAGTCCTGTAAAATAATTTAAGCTGGATTACAAGTGCCTTTCTGGAGATTTTACTTTTGAAATAATGTAAATTCTTCACAGATGTGTTATAAAGGAATGTCACAACAAAGTCGCTCATGCATGACATATAAATCTTAATAAATTGATAAAAACAATTAATATCACCTCCATATAAATTGACTTAGAAGGCATATATAACCAAATGATGGTGCTCCCTTATAATGAAAAAGTCAAAGGTCCTCGAAAAAATTGGTAAAATCACCAAAATATCCTGAATAAAATAACTCACAAATATTGATGTTTTTCCAAAAAACATTTCTTCATAGGTCATAAATTAGATTCCACAACTTAACAATGTACTCTTATAGGATAACCATTTCATCAATGCAAATAGAGATGGCTACTTCAAATTTTATTGTGGGCCTGTGTCCTTCGTGATTTTCCCTTCAAAGCATCCCATTATCCCATTTGCGCTTTACCTGCGCTTTAGTTGCGCTTTACTTGCGCTTTAGTTACGCTTTACCTGCGCTTTACTTGCACTTTACTTGCGCTAAATTTAAAATAATATTTTATTAATATCCGCACCTATCTCTGCGTTCGGTCACCTGACCCAATAATTTGCCGTGAGAGAGAGATGTTTCTTGGTCAAAGTCAACCCACACTAGGGGTGTAAGTGAGCCGAGCCGGCTCGCGAGCTGGATCGAACTCCACTCGTTAACGAGCTCGAGCTCAAAGTCAAGCTCGAGCTCAAAGTCAAGCTCGAGCTCGAGTTCGAGCTTGATGTGGCTTGGCTCGTGAGCTAACGAGCCGGCTCGAAACTATAATATTTAGGGTATTTTAAAGAAACTAATGGCATTCGGCTTATAATATGAGATTCAAACGTTGCTTTTAATGTCAAGCATTGCTTTTAATGTTAATTCATATAATTTCATTGTCTCGTTTCAAGTGAATGCAGCTTTTTATTAATGCAAAGGATCCTTTGCAGCTTGTCATTATGACAGCTTTTTAAGATGGCAGCCATTTCCCCAATAAAAAAAAGATGGCAGCCATTCATGGGTGGGAAAAAAAACTCTGTTTGGATGGATGCCAGGCGGAAAATTAAGAAGTGGGCGGGAAAAATAAAAAATCGGATGGATGAGAAATCGAACGGCTTGCGAGCCGGCTCGAGCTCGTTTTTAGTTTGACGAGCTCGAACTCGAGCTCGTCTTTTTAGCTCGAGCTCGAGCTCATTTTCCGTGTAATGAGCTGAGCTCGATAATGCTAAAACTCGACTCGACTCGTTTACACCCCTAACCCACACTAAGTCAACGTAGCATGTTTTCTTCCTAAGATAAAAATTAAAATTCACAACTTAACAATGGTTGTGTCAAATTAGTGCTAGCATGCAAAAGAAAAGTCTGAACATACAAGTCACGTCATGTTTTAGTAGTAAGACCATTTGCACTTACAATAAGTTTTTACACAACGCACATATAAGTAATTTTTGGTAGTAAGAGTTACCTAGTAATCTTAAAATGTCCAAGATGTGACTAACCTTAACATGTCCAAGCTGAGTGATTTGAACTCCAGAGTTGGGAATTGGAATGGGACGACCAGCTTTTAGGCGGTGGAAGAACCACTCTTCTACTGGATTGTAGTTCAATGGCCCATATATGTAGACAGGTCTTAGAGAAGTCCAGTTCACTCCCTTTGAATCCAACAGGCTCTCTGTCTCAAGCTTCCCCTTGTGCCTGCTCTTTGGATCAACTGCATCAGACTAATAATCACTCACAAACGTCATTACATGAGAGTACAAAAGAAAAAGGTTAAAAGGTTATTGAACTCCAAACTGAAGAAAATAATACCTCAAAGTGAGGCAACAAATCGGATTTGAGATATACTCCAGCTGATGAGCAGTATATATACCTGCAAAGTTATCTTCTGATTACATAGCAAACGTGACAGTTCATTGTTAGTTATGTTGGGTCCATTTGGTTGGTTGAAGTTACAGAAGCCATGTTTTGAAAAATGATAGATTTATTAAGATTTCATAATTTCATTGGATATAATTAAAAATAAATATAGATTTTAAAGAGTAAGAATGCCTATTTGACACCAAATTTGAGTGAAAACAAAATCACTTTTTTAAAACATTTTTTTTTTAGATTAAAAAAACAACCAAATGAACCCATAGATGAATTTCAAAAAAAAATTAGTGCTGAGATCAATTTGTCAACAGAAATTATTTTTCAGATTTGATTACAAATGTCAAGATCTCATATTTCAATTTTGAGAAGATGCAATAACTAATTATTTTGAAATTTACAATCTAAATCTTCAAAAAAGGCATATCTGAATATGGAAAATGTCATTCTACCAAGATCTCAGACAACTATCCAAAGCAAATAAGTCTTCTATTCTAGAAAATGAACTCTTATATGAAGAATATATAACCGTACGAACAACATCAAATTAAGCCACTAATTATGGATCCAATTACATATTATTCACAAGGATCGTCAAAGAATTGAGATGTAAGAAAATCAGTTCATGCAAAAGAAAATTTCACTATTGACTCAAAAGCTATAATGTTAGACCGGCCAGCTGAACCGGTCCATCCTGGACCGGTACACGTTTACAAGAAGCAGGCCAACGGAGGGGAACCAAGGAGAGGGGCGGCTGATTGGATGGGGCCTATGCACTAATGAAGCTTTGGGTTAGAAGGAAAATTAAAATTAGGAGCTGTTTAGGGATTAATAATTTGTCATTTTGCTTTAATTAGTTTCTTCTTCCTAGGGTTGGCGTCATCTTGAATGAATTATGAAATTTGAGATCTTGGTGTTGGTTTTAGTCTCTAGACTTTGGCTAGAGATTTGGAGAGTTGAATCTTCCTCTCGAATTGAAGATTCATTGTATCGGGTTGTTTATTTTCTTCAATTACTAAATTTCAAGAGCTTTCTTCTTGATTTTTCCTACAATTTTTATAAAATCTGCACTAAAATCTCTGAAATTCAGCAGTTTTCTCTGTTTTTGGTGGCTATTTCCCATCAAATTGGTATAAGCGCACGTCGATCTAAGGGAAACCAATAGCCAAATGAAAAGTGATAGTTTTAGAGAGAGAATTAGGTCAACTGAAATCAGATTTTGAAGAGAAAATTTCTGATTTTCAAAATAAGTTTGCATCCGTCCATGAAAAGATAGACGGAAGGTTTGTCATAGTAGAAGACATGTTGAAGAAATCGCTTGAAGTCAAACCCAATCCGGTGACATCTAAAGCGAAGGAAACCACCGACGACCATGGAAAAGGTGGAAACCCTAACATGTTTAGGGGAAGGGAAAACATAGAAGTGGAGATTCTGGAGGGAGAAGACGAGGTGCCTCCTCTAGAGTCACTTTCTAGAGAGGAGATGAGTATCGGCTACGAATGAAGGGGTGCTGATTTTGAGAAAATAGGGGAGAATTTTGATCGCCGGGTTGCTGAATTTGAAAGGAGAGGGGACTTTGACAAAGGATTTTGGTTTGAGCGCCGAAGGGAAGAGCTTGACAATTGGAGAGCACCTACTCTTTGAGGAATGTGTAGCTACGGAGGATTCAGGGGAAATGGGGGTGACCCAAGTGTAAGGAAATTGAAGATGCCTATCTTTAAGGGTGAGGACGCACATGTGTGGATCTACAAAATAGAGAGATATTTTGTAATCAATGGGTTGGCCAAGGAGAATTGACAGCGGCGGGGCTATGTCTAGAAGGGAAGGCGTTGGCTTGGTATCAGTGGAGGGATATGAGGTGAACCCATTCGGAGTTGGCGAGAATTCAAGAACTGATTACTAGAACATTTCTGAACCAATAGGAGAGAATACTTCTATGAGCAGTTCTTCGCCCTGGTGCAAGACGAGGAGCTGAAGAAGATTCAGAGAGACTTGCTAAAAGATAGGAGTAGCCACCCGGGCTACTGCCTCGAGGTAGAGAGGCTATTGTACCAAGGGAGATTTGTGATGCCACGAACCTCAATCCATTTTCCCCACCTACTGCAAGAGTTCCACGGGAGTGCGGTTGTAGGCCATTCCAGGGTACAGAAGACTGACAGTTGAATTATACTGGAAGGGTATGCATACGGATATGGAGGAGATGGTGAGGAGGTGTGAGGTGTGACAGAAAAATAAGTACATGGTTATGGCTCCAGGGGGGTTACTACAACCCTTAGCACTTCCAAACAGGGTACGGGAGGAGGTGTCCATGGATTTCATAAATTGCTTACCACGATCCGAGGTATTTCGAGCCCTACGAGATAGTGGAAAAGATTGGAGCAGTGGCATACCGATTAAAGCTACCCCCGACCGTCATCATACACCCATTATTCCATGTGTCATAGTTGAGAAAAGCTTTGGGGGAGCATGCAATTAGTGCAGAGTTATCGACGACACTGACTGAGGAGTTGGAAGTGGTCTTAGAACCATTGGAGCTAAAACGGGTGAGATTAGGTAAAGGGGGAACAAAGAAGTGCTGATTAAATGGAGGGGCCTTCCCAACTTCGATGTCGCTTGGGAACCGTATGAAAGGGTGAAGCATCAATTTCCTTCATTTCACCTTGAGGACAAGGTGAGTCTTTGGGAGGGGTAATATTAGACCGGCCAAAGGGTCCTCCGAACCGGTTCACGCTTACAGGAGGCAGGCCAGGGGGGGGGGATGGATCCAGGGAGGCGGGAGGCTAATTGGATGGGGCCCATGCACTAACGAAGCTTTGGGTTGGAGGGAAAATTCAAATTATGGGTTGTTTAGGGATTAATAATTTGTCTTTTTTCTTTAATTAGTTTCTTCTTACTAGGGTTAGGGTCATCTTGAATGAATTCTGAAATTTGAGATCTTGGTGTTGGTTTTGGGCTCTAGATTTTGGCTAGAGATTTGGAGAGCTGAATCTTCCTCTTGAATTGAAGATTTGTTGTAACGGGTTGTTTCTTTTCTTTTAGTACTGAATTTCAAGAGCATTCTTCTTGATTTTTCCTATAATTTTTGTAAAATTTGCACTGAAACTGCTGTAGTTTTCTCTATTTTTGGTGGCTATTTCCTATCATACAACTATAAGCATTGTGATATAATAAGAGAGAAATTTTACAGATTTTAGAGTACGTCTAGACAAAAGGAAATGTGATAACTTCAAACAAGCAGTTTAACAAAGACATTGGTCAAATACAAGATAAACAACAATTTTGTGGGACATTAGAAATGATGGAAGGTACTCAAAAGGAAAGGATAGAGAGGGACAAAGATAAACAAAATACAATAAAATGTGGAAGAAACCAATAGTAAACTAATGAAGATAAAGGAGCCAGGTTCTGTAGAGGAGCTTGAAAGTAGTTTGATGAAGATGAGTTTACAAAACAAATAAGAATCTCTAAAACATAATTAACTTTAAATAGGTTTGAAATCATTAGAAATCATTTCAAGATTTTTTATTAGTCCATTCAGGAAGGGATCTTACTGCTCCAGGTTTGGCAAAGCATCCAAAATAGGTTCTGCTTCAACAGCTTCACGCCCTAAATGAGAATAATTTGAAAGAGGGGAATATTAGAAAGATCAATATGTAATGAAAAAAACATGCAGCATTACTTCAGCAAAACTTAGTCATTTTATTCCTCTGCAAACTACAATTACAAATCATGCTTTCTACTCTAAACTGTAAACTCTTAATATGAATACAAAAAGGCTTCTCAATTCAGAGGGGTGGTCACCATTTATGTCGTAAACAACTTCAAAGCCCTCAGCTGCAAGACTTGACTTTACAAACTCAGAGTCTTTCCTATCTCCTTTCAAATGCAAGACCTACAAATAGTTCAGACTAGATGGCATGAAATCTTTAAAATAGAAGGTATTTACGCTCAACTTCAAATTAGCATTCTCAAGGCCAAAAAAAAAGCAGGATGTTGTTTTATCGTTGCTTAATCATGCAAAATAATTTTATATGGTATATTCTAGAGCCATCTAATGTTAAGGAGTGTGAATCAAAAGGAGAAGAAAGTTGGACTAGATGTAGTAGTGGTCAAAACTATTTTCAAACTAGGCTAACCACTTGGAGGTTGTTTGTTATTCAATTTTAGACCGGATTTAAGAAAACTTTAGCCTAAATCCTACTGAATAAAATTGTTGAAAGTTTAAATGCTTTGATAAATCTCAATTTAACAACGTTATTGACTAAATCCCACTATTCACAGGATTTAATGGATGTAAGAATTTTTGCTCTCGCAAATTTTAAATACAAAACCAAATAGCCAAATAATTTAGTAAAATTCAGCAGCACTCGTAACAAAGTGGTTCAAATTTTAATTCTCTCAAGATTTACCAAATATGGATATATAAGATTTGCTAAATCCTACTTGTAGCCAAACATCCCCTCCATATTTTTACACCAAAATATTTTTCACCCATCTAATGTTGAACTAAATTCAAAACTTCATGTGGATTTACATGTACAACAGGAGAAAATATGTAAGCTCAATGGATAGTATTGCTTTACCTTAGATTTGAACTCTTTATACTCCTGATCTGATTCTCCAGGCAATTGCTGGGTGATAGATGCCTTACCTCTAGTAAACAAGGTCACCTGGAAACCCAAAGTCACACACATGAAAAATTCATCAATATGCAATTATACTTTTCATTTCAAAAGACAAACTTTAAGCACAATTTTTTATTCGCACCTGATGCCCGTCTTTCACTAGGAGCCTGGTGAGAAACACTCCAATAAACCTAGTGCCACCCATAATTAGAATCTTTTTAGCACTAGATGCAGTGACTTGAAAACTTCCATTTGGTTGCAAAGCTTTCCTTCTACTCTGAACCAATTGAAGAGCAAGATTAATCAAACTAGCTTAATTGATAAAGATCTTTTGGAAGTTATTATTAGGGACCTAAGATTGAATCCCACCTGCATGAAATATCGTGCTTCGAACACTCAACATTATTAGAAAGAAAAAAAAACAGAGATCTTACATAGCATGATAAAAACCCAATTATAAGTGTTAAAAATTAAAGGATTCTATTACATCAACAATGGCTTAAAAAGTGATAATATCCTAGTAATCCTCGAAACACCTGTTTCCAATCTAACCCATCAACTAATAAGAAGCACTTTGCAAGCAAAAGTGCGAAATATTCATCCATTTGAAAAACATGTCAGATGGGAAACGTTAGATTCAAAAACTTGCCGTTTTTGTTTCTGGCTTTTTCCTCTATTCTAAACTGCTATTTATGTTCAAAAAATATATTTGATTGGATGTTTATATTTTTTATTTTCCAAAATAAATTAATGAGTATTTAGAACTTTTTGAAATGTCATATAAGATGTTCACTTTTTTTTAATATAGCTATTATCAAAATAAAAAAATAAGTGCGCACTCACATATTTTTAATTCGAGCAAAAAACAAAAAAAAGGACAAAAAACAATCAAATAGGCCTCTATAATTTTCTTAAGACTTTCTCATTCAAGCAATTTATCAAACATCTGTCCTCCATAACAATTTTGCTCCAAAACAAAACTACACCAATGTTCAAACAATGAAACAAAGAAGAGAAACAGACTTCAGTTGATAAATTCATGTATTATATTTACCCCCACTGCATTTTACTCTGCTAAAAAATATCATTTTGGCTTCATTATTGGTTCACCTTGATTGCGATTCTGAAAGCTGAGCCATTGAATTCGGATAATGAGGAAGGGAGTAAGGAAGAAAGCTTTGGGCTTTGAGGGGAAGCTTGCTGCAACACAACTAGCCTAGCCATGGCTTCTTCCAATCGATCGTTCAGCAAGTGTTGCCTCTTCCTCTTCGACTCTCTTTTATCCCTTACTTCTTCCTCTCCTCACCATATGTAAAGGATAAGAAGACCAGCACCGAAATTGGTATTGATTCACAGCCACTCACCCCATGCTCACTTCTCAGTTCATTTAAAAGTGCTCCAAGTAGGCCTGTCGAAAAAGAAGCACATAACAAATACATAATTTTGTATTGGGTACTCCAAAAATTGAGTTACTTAAACCCGCATACAATAATTTTTACATGTTTTAGTTCGATCGAGTTGCGTACATACTCTAATAAAATACAACACATAATAAGTGCATAATTATATATTTAGGCTTCGTTTGGGATGGCTTTTTTTATTGCTTTCTAAAACGGAATTTTAGTACAAAATTTTTTATTTTTATATTAAAACTCCGTTAAAAAGCAATAAAAAACCGTCCCAAACGAAGCCTTAATCTCATGAAACCCACAACAAATGCATCATTATGTATTTTATGCACTCTCTAATTATACAGAACAATGTACTCTTCTATTTCATATGTGAAATTCAATATTTAATACATAAACTACTTAAGTTATATCTGACTTAATAATTAGCAAAAATTATATTTGAAGGAATTATAGTTGAGTGATGGTGGTCTGAGGACTTTAATCAGGCGATGGTGATCCAAGGACCAAAGTCGACGAGCGACAAAGGTAGGAATAACTGTAGTTGAGCGATGGAGGTGGGGGATCGTAGTCAAAGATGGTGGCCTAAGAATCATAGTTTAGGGTTTAGTTCTAATGACCATAGTCAAACAATAGTAATCCGTGATCGTAATCGACGGGCATTGGTAGTATGAGGACTATAGTCGGGTGATAGTGATTCAAGTACGTAGTTGGATGATAGTGATTTGAGGACCATAGTAGGTGGGCAACAAGACCGCAAAAAAGTGACGAAGGTTGAAGAGATCATATTTGGCAATGGTGGTTTGAGGATCATAGTAAAAAAATGATAGTTTGAGGACTATAGTCGGTGAGGAACAATGGTCTAAGTGTTGTAGTCGAGCGGTGGTGGTCTGAGGACCGTAGTTGGCAGACAATAGAGATCGAATGGACCATAGTGTAATAACCTAAACATTTGGCATTAAGCTTGTGAGCGCTGAGGTGCTGGTCCTTGAGCGCAACGATGCCATAAATCATCGCCGCAACATTGAAGCCACTATTTTAACGGTAATTCTTGTTTCAACATGCAGCGCTGTAGTGCTGGATTAGGCACTATGGTGCTAGGACACTAATGAAATTTTTATATATATTAAATTATAAATATCCCTGCCACCCTCACCCCTCCGCTCACTCTCACAGGGCTTAACTGGGAAGGAAAGGGAAGGAAGGGAAGTAGAGAGAAGAAGAGGATAGAGGAAGCTCTCCAAGGTTTTTTTTCCATCATTCCTCTTATGAATTTTGTTTTATTCGTTGTAAGTAACTATCATCTTACTTTAATTTTTAATAATACTAATTTTTTGAATTTTATCTCTCTTAAAGTTGCCTAAAATGTATTATCTCCTAATTCGTGAGCTTTTGCCGTATGATTTTTTTATATATTATAGATTTAATCATTCTAAAAAATATAATATATTTTATTACATTTTAATGAAATAAAAATATGTATATGAATGTTTCAGTGAAATGAGAAGAGAAAAGGTATATTGAAAATAAGTTGAAAGTGATACAAAGATGTATGTGTTAAAATGATTGATAGGACTGATATGTACTGAAATGTGCTACTGATCTAACTGAAAGAATGAAGTGAACTGATCTGACTGAAAGGATATACTATTTAATATCAAATAAAAATTATATGATATTCCCACGTGATACCCTCAAGATTCATTGATTCACTGATGGGAGTCATAAGGAGATGGAGTCTGATTAGGAGTTAAAAAATGTCAAGGTGAATGATTCAAGTGATTCGTTGATTGAGAGTTATAAGGAGTTCATTAATTAGGAGTTATAAGGGGAAATTGATCAGAGTCATAATTGCATGAGCAAGATACAAGATACCGTCATATGAATATCTAATATATATGTCACTAATTCTTAATTATTGATACTGATAACAACTATTGTACTGATACTATTATTGTTATTCTTACTACTTATTATTATTGATTTTGGATACTATACTGACAAAGATTACTGATAAATATAATGATGAATAAATGTAATTGATTATTGATGAATATTACTGATACTGTATAGATACTGATTATTATTGCTGCTTGTTATTACTGAATATAGATATTGATACTGCTGCTATAATTGATAGTCTAACATGAATAATTTAATGATAAGATTGAATAAAACTAACTGAATGATAAAGATAGGCTGGCCAATTGATTAAATAAGGTAATGATTATTGATGCATAGTTTACTTACACGATTTATAGCATAATATTTCTCTTTTATCTTGCATTAAATTTAGTTGTAAGATTTTGTTTACTTGCTGGGTTATCTACTCATTATATGGTTTCTACATATTTTCTGGAAAAGATAAGAACCCTATGGATTGAGGCTTTGCACAGCATGTGTGATTTTTCTTTCAGCACTTTTAGTTTATTTTATAGTCTTGATGTCTGTATAGTAATAGACTGATCTTTTTAAATCATGATTATTGTATATATGTTATTTTTTGCTAGTAATAATTGTACATGTTGATGAATGAATGCATTTCTTTTTGTTGTTTATGTGAAATTTGTAAGCACTAGTTAAATGTTATTAACAATTTAGAAAGAATGATACAATTCTTCTATTTTTGATCCCATGATGTGACACATTATTGGGAGACTCATGTTGGAGGGACCTTAGTCGAGTACCAATGGTAAAATGAATGTAATCAAGTGATGGTGGTCATATGATGTAATTAGAGAGTGACAAATGTTAGAAGGAATATATTCGGGCAACGGTGATCTAAAGATCATGGTCAGTGATAGAGTCAGGGGGTCGTAGTCAAGTGGCTGGGTTTGTGGACCATTACCAGAAGATGGTGGTCTGATGATCATAGTCTAGTGATGGTGGTATGAGGATTATAGTCGACGGATGCTGAGATTGGAAATACTATAGTCAATGGGCAACTAAGGTTGGAAGGATTGTAGTTAGGTGATTGTTATATAAGGACCATAGTTGGCCGATGGTGGTCCGAGGATTGTAGTTTAAGGTAAAAGGGACCATGGTAGGGCTACTGAGGTTAGAGGAACTATAATCGAAAAAAGATGATATAAGGATCATATTTGGGAAAAGGTGGTTAGAGGGATCATAGTCAAGAAATAGTGGTCAGAAAGACCATTATCAGGTGATTGGGGCTAGAATAACTGTAATTAGACAATAGTGGTCATAGGGGTCGTATTTGGGTGATGGATGTTGGAGGGGTTATAATCGGGTGATGATGGTTGGAGGGTGGTGACTGTCCAGTGAAAAGTATGATGGTGGTGATTGGTAGGCAAAGTTCTAGCAATGGTCTAGTGGTGGTCGGGTGATGGCCATGTAAAGGAGGTCCAACAATAATGGTCGGTCGATGATAGTTCCAAAAATGGTGGTTAGGAAAACTTTTGGAGATGTTGTCCAAGAGGAGATCATGTATTGGCCAGGTAGAAGTCTGACGACAACAGCCGGTGTTCGAGCGGAGTTCTCAGATTCTTTTCACTTCAAAACTCTCTTAAATCTCTAGCCAAGGTCCAAGCCTCCCCCTTATATATAGAGTAGGGGTAACAGTAGTTCAAGTATTATAATCAATAATAGAGGTCGGAGGGACCGTAGTCAAGTAACTGAGGTCAAAGGGATCGTAATCTAGTGATGATGATTTGAGGATCATAATCAAGAGATGGTGGTCTAAGGATCATAGTCAGCTGGTGACTGAGATTAGAATGATTATAGTCGATGGACAACTAATTTTGGAAGGACTGTAGCCAGGTGACAGTGGTGTGAGGATCGTAGTTGTGTGACGGTGGTCCAATGATCATATTCGATGGTTAGAGGCATTATGGTTGGACTACTCATGTTAGAGGGATCGTAGTCGTGCAAAAGTGATCTGAGGACCATATTTAGGTGAAGATGGTTAGACTGATCATAGCCAGGCGATGGTATTTTAAGGGTTCATACTCAAATGACAGTGGTCAGAAAAACTATTATTGGGTGACTTAGACTAGAGGGACTGTAGTCGAGCAATGGTGGTCATAGGGTCTATATTCAGGTGATGGTGTTGGAGGGGCCGTAGTCATGAGGTGATAGTCGTCAGAGGGAGGGTAATGGCCAGTGAAAAGTAAAATGGTAGTGATTGGTAGGCAAGATTCTAGAATTGGTTTGGTGGTGGTCAGGTTACAACCATATAAAGGAGGTCTAGCAACAGTAGTCCGTTGATGGTAGTTCCAACAGTATAAGTTGGGCAAAATTCCAGCAATGTTGACTAGGAGGAGATCCTGCATTGGCCAGGCAGAGGTTCGGTAACAACAGCTAAGCGGTGAGGGCTTGATGGTGGTGGTGTTTAGGTGGAACTCTGAAACACTTCAAGCTTTAGAGCTCTCTTGAATCTCTAACTAAGGTCAAAGCCTACCCCTCCCATGTAGAGAGTAGGGCTTATTTATAAATTTTTAGAGTGGCATGCTCCATAAATATAAATAAATTTTGGAGTAAATATGGAGCACTCAATCGGATGCCTTGTATTGATCCCCTCAATCATGGAGCCTTCTTCAATCTTTTAAGTGCCTAATGATATCAGAATTAAGTGATCTTAGGCTCATTAGATTCTTCTCATAGTGCTGCTCAATTTGATTATAAGCATGCAATATTTGGATACCACTTGGTCACCCAATTAATGTCCTAAAACTTCCTAATATGTTTTAGGGCCTCAATTTGGGTCCATTTTGGTTTGGATTAGACTTATTTTTGCATCATTGGGCCCGTCTTATTAAGATGTTCAATTTGACCATAAGTTTGCTAAGATAAGAGTTCAAATGCTCCATAATTAAATTTTAAAGTTTTTAAATAAAAAAATTCCTCAAGATTCGTGCCTAATCAAGACGGTATATATATACACTACAGGAAAAAGCATTATTATGAGTGGATAAAATACGTGGATAACACGA